TTTACTTCGAGGCATGCCACATTTTCTTTCAAAGTGTCACATCCTCCTTTCCTGAGCGCACAGACACACACACACACACAAACACACGTGGCAGGCACACACACACACACACAAACACACGTGGCAGGCACACACACACACACACAAACACACGTGGCAGGCACACACACACACACACACACAGCATTTAAAAAAGAAAAACATTTATTAAAGTGCGGATTTGTTGGAACACTTATAAAATAAAAATATTTGTAAAAGAATAAGTGCGGATTTGTTGGAACATTTATAAAAGAAAAACATTTTTCTGCTGTCATTGAAAGGAACAGTAATAAAAGATCTTTAACAACACACGCACACACACACTGTATACTTTGAGCAATAGCAAACTTGAACAAGCATTCCACATCATCAACATGAAAGTCAAAAAGTCATGACCTCCAACCAAAAGCAGAATTGTAACTCGAATCACCACTTGGGGCCCCGACATTTATGCCTGGAAGTCTGCTGGGGCTCATTGCAGGTTGTAGCCTCGCATACAGAGAGAGAGAGAGAGAGAGAGAGAGCATGTACACCGTTGTCGAGCACTCGAACACCTAAAATATTGCACATACTCCGTGCAATGACGGATGTGCAGAATTAATCATGATATGCATAGCCTGTGCATCGAACAACTGCATTCAACGCTGTCCACTACCAATGTCTGTATCACTGTTGTCCAGCATGGTCTCTGGTGCGCAGTCAAGCCATGTGTGAGCACGAAGTATTTCCTCTCCTGTTGATAGTGTTGGGTGCAATGTAGCAGCAGAACCGTTGGCTACAGCCCCGTGCAGGAGGCAACTAAGGTCCAGGCCCCACGTAAGTGATGTTGCGAGGACAGCCTCTCTGTTGACCAAGACAAACCATGACTTCCCCATACGTGACCATCTTCTTCCGTCCGAGCATGATCTCATAATGGTCGTCAGTGCTGCATACTGGGTGCGCCATCAGGTATTGCCTCCTTCAGCACGACACGCAACAGTAAATGGGGATTAGAGAATACACATGCCAACCTAAGAATCGCATGTGCCCACCCTTTTGACGCTTGTGCCCCCCAGCTTCCATATCCCAGTAGGCATCATATTCCTCACCCTCCTCGTAGCTGCTCACATCGCTGCTACTCACTTCCACCTCATAGTTAGGCGCCCTCGCATCTTTTTCATTGTTCCTCACTCTTGTTTCTTCAATGTCATATTCGAAATCGATCGGTAAAGAAGAGTCTTCGAACTCTCGTTCCCGTTGTTGTTCTGTCATTGTCCAGTAATTGAACACATCTTCTTCTTCTACCTCCTGCGTGGACATTATGTTTATTGGAGAACGCACGATGGAGACTGTTCTCACAATTTCTTCCCCTGCTGAAGTGTGTCCATCTGCTGCATGAAGCGCAATATCTGTTTCCCTGACCACCAACTTCCATCCTTCTTCCCTTGACTTATTTCTGTCCACCTCAAAAGTCGCAATGCTGAGGCGATGCAAAGCTGCCATAAATATTCCATCCCACAATGGAGTACCACATACGACATCCTCGTCCACACTCCGAACCCTGTAGTTAATGAGGTCCTTGCCCGCCAGTGCTTGCTCTGTCACATCATGCAATGCCTCATGTATGACATTCCGATTGTCAGGTTTCTTTTTCATGAAATCCACCAGTTGGTCGCGTAAAACATACTCCACCCCGTTTGCGATAATTACTGGAAGATCTTGGAAGTCTCGCGGGGGAACTTGCGGTATGTCCTTCAACACGAGAGTACTAAAATTTATGTTGCACCGCTCTTTATCTCGTCCTTAGAATCTTCAACAAGCATTCCCCATTTCTTTGTCTGTATCATCACCGTCTGCTTGAAATCGGTTGGCATGTATGTTCCCCCCTTCTGCTGCTTTTTCATATTCACGTCGCCTTCATCGGACATCCCTTCTGTGCACATCCAACCAACCACTTTTCTCAAATTGTATGCACTGGTATCAGCACTGTTGTCTACACGCAAATCATGCGCCTCAGTGAACCGTGCCAATAGCATCCGTGCTCTGAGCGACTCCTCTCCGTTCGCARCGATGCTTGYACGAATGTTCACTCTGACATCGAAGTAACTCGRCAMTCTCTYCGTRAGTAGTYSAAGCTCCCCGTCGTCATCGTAGTGGATGCCCTCCTCCGCGTATTGCATCACCTCTTGAAGAGTTGCCCTCGCCTGCGCCGCTGACATCAACATGATGGTTGTGCTTTTGTCTATGTGTCTGTAAGTGGAATGGCAAAACGATGATTTCAAGCTCCGTGAGGGTTTGTTTAATGTTGTTTGTGTGTCCCTCTGCTGGAAGTATGCGGTCGTTCGATGCTGTCAGTCAGTACACGGACATCATACGAAGGTTGGCTACTGGGTGCCATTTTTTCTTCGAATCAATGACACCGAAATGAATCTGGCACGCAGTAGTCAACTCCTCCGACCCTGCTCTCACTCTTCGCCCAAACCACTTCCCAGTTGTGTCTGGCAGTGGTAGGGGGTGTGGCGCGGTCCAATGACATATTCCCCCCAACCACCCCGCCCCCCCCCCCCCCCCCCCCCCCCCCCCGAATCTAGAAACACCCTGACCACCCAATGAAAGACAAAGCCACCGTGACACCCCCAACTTCCCAAACGTGTGAAGCATTGTACGTATCACAGGGCTCAGAACCATTCATTCACAAAGCCATGGAGGGCAGAGTACAACTTACCTTAGACGGAATAGTCCTCCGCCAAGATCGTGTGTGTGTGTGTGTGTGTGTGTGTGTGTGTGTGTGTGTGTCCGTGTCAGTGTATGTCCGTGTGTCTGTGTCTGTGTCTGTGTCTATGTATGTGCATGTTCGTGTGTCCGTCCGTGTGTGTGCGACATGTATGTGTGTGTGTATATGTGTGTGTGTGTGCATCTGTGTATGTGTCTGTGTGTGTTTGTGTGTGTCTGTGTGTGTGCATCTGTGTGTGTGCATCTATGTATGTGTCTGTGTGTCTGTTTGTGTCTGTGTCCGTCCGTGTGTATGTGTGCATTTGTGTATGTGTCTGTGCGTGTTTGTCTGTGCGTGTGTATGTCCGTGTGGCTTCTCCACATCAGCGCCCTGAGTTCGAGCACTCAGTACCGCAGCACAAACTTTTGTCCGTGTATCTGTATATCTGTAGTCCGTGTGTCAGTGTTTGTGCGTGTGTATGTCCGTGTGTGTATGTATATGTCTGTGTATATGTCCGTGTCAGTGCATGTCCGTGTGTCTGTGTTTGTGTGTGTGTCTGTGTATGTGCATGTCCGTGTGTCCGTCCGTGTGTGTATGACATGTATGTGTGTCTGTGTATGTCCGTGTGTCTTTGTATGTATGTGTGTATGTAAGTATGTCTGTGTATGTTCATGTGCCTGTGTTTGTGTTTGTGTTTGTGTATGTCTGTGTCGGTGTTTGTGTGTGTATGTAAGTGTGTATGTGTGTGTGTATGTCTGTGTCTGTGTTTGTGTCTGTATCTGTGTATGTGTATGTCCGTGTGTCTGTGTATGTATGTGTGTATATAAGTGTGTCTGTGTATGTCCGTGTGCCTGTGTATGTCCGTGTGTATGTCCGTGTGTATGTCCGTGTATCACAAAAAGTCACGGAATGTCACAAACACGGGAAGCATGATAGTCACTTTCCGTCACCGTCGCAGACACCATGAGTGTGTTTTAGTTGGGAGTGTGCATGTTGTAGGGAGAAGAAAACAAACAAAGGGAGAGCAGGACGTGGGAAATAAGAGCAAGAGAGTGAGGGAAGACTTGAGTTATAAGGTACGCAGGCAACGATACCTTCGTCGACGAAAGCAACGGCGTACACTGTAGACTGAATGCTTGGGAAGATGCAGATTTTGGTTGGAGAATTCTGCTTCGGTGGCTCAACCGTGCGGGGCATAAGATAACACAAACAGACAGAGAATTAGTGAACAATGTGTCACACACACTCACACAAACTCTACGACACACACAGACTCTTGGTCATTGATGTGTTATGAACATGATTGGCTACTGCGGTTTTGCCATCCCTCACTCACATAGACTCCCGTTCACGCTCATACATGCAGAGAAGGAAGGGGAGAGGAAAGTAGACTGCCACAACGCGGAGAAAAGAAAACGCAGTGGCCGGCATACAGAAGCAAAGTGACAGAATACACAGTACAGTCTGACATTAAGCAGAATGACGTCACCACCATCAGACTGCAGAAAAGGAGTAGATGTCGTTGACCACAAAACAGAATCAATCATTATAACCGGCGCTGTTTGCGCTCATCATCAACAACACGAATTGCGAAGTCCAGGTAAGAACAAGTCCTCTCCACATATTCTCTCTGTTGTGTATCGAAACAATGGCAGAAGTCTTCACACCATGACACGCAAGTGTGTTCACAACATGCATCGTCAACAACCAGAATGACCACAAGTCTTCACTGTTATGAACTTGGTTGCCTGACGAATTTTATCGCCACTCACACACAGACAATCTCACACATGACCATACATGCATAAAAGAAGTGGAGAGAGGAGACAGAGTCCACACTGCACACACGTGAAAATAAGCAACGGAAGACAGACATGCACAGGTGGGGAGAAGACACGCAGTGTTTCTCACTCTCTGACACAACTCCCAACAACCAATCATAAGTAAGAACCTGCGAAGATCACAATTGGAAAGGTCACTGATGATGAGCCACTCATACAATTATCATAACAGAGTTTGTTCCAGTGTCTCGCCACACTCATAACTCACACGCCACTCTCTATCCTACACCCAGTTAGTAGCGCTGCATCAGAACAGCCTCCCAGAGGCCAGCGCCAACCACCCTGATGAAGAACAGGTCATGCAATGAAGTCTTCAGTGCCGATGGACAACTCTGACCAAGGAACAGGCAGCTATGGCTGCCACCACCCACGAACCACCACTGTAGAGCATCGGTCCAGCCCGGCCATACGCAGATACCCCCAGGGGTAGATGCGGTGAGGATGCCTGAGCTATGGCAGACTCAGATGTGGCCGGCTATGGCTGCTGTCACGGTGCGTCTCAGGATGCCGCCTGCAGACCAACACCGCCACCAACTTGCTTGGCTTCTCCAACGCTGTGTGGCGAGAAATGAACTGCAAACAGTCCTCAACCGGTGGGCCTATCCTATCTATAGAGTCTCTAGACCTAGACCGAACTGACTGACCGACCCGTACCGTTGCTGTTTCGGCCTCTCGGCCGCTACCGGACCCGGCTATAGGCTATAGGACCGTCTAGCAGCATAGGCCACTTAGGGCCTGTCTGTCCTAGGGGTAGCCCGGGCCCGCTATAGGCAGTTAGGGTAGCTGTACGAATTCAGTTTGTACCGGGCCTGTATTTCCCCGGATTTAGAGATCTGTCCCTCACGAATTTCCTTACAGGCAGGTCTCTCGGTTAGCCCTCAGCCAAATAAATTTACAGCCTCGAAGTCAATCAGGTCATGCAGCACACAGTTGCACAACTCATGCAGCACACAGCTGCACAGCACACAGCACACGACACACAACAGCTCATGCAGGATCGGCAGTACGCAGCTCATGCAGCGTACAGCAGGATCGGCAGTACGCAGCTCATGCAGCATACAGCAGGATAGCCAGACCGTTGCTGGCCCCATACATAGACAGCACACATCGTGCACCGGCGACAGTACACAGCACACAGCACACTACAGTACAGCCTCTGTGCGCAAGCGCAGGCTGCAGAAAACAGCAAGTCAGCAACAACGTGCAACAGTCAACACCGCACCTACACACTCATGCACATTATATTTGTATGTCTGCGAACTGGTCTCAGTGCACTCTTCACTGTGTTCTTATTTCATGCTTTTCTTTGCTGCATTGCCTTTGCGCAGTGCTCCTTTCCTCTTCGACGACCCCGCAGGAGTGTCACCGCCTTTGCGAGCTGCTGCTGTCTTCTGAGACACCCCCTTCCCCCTCTGCGTTTCTCTCTCCACCTGCCTTGCAGCATTCATCTGTCGTAGCTTTTCCACTCTCTTCTCCTCGTCGATAATGCCTTCATATTTGTATTCCCAGTGAGCCTTGGCCAGGTTATCAACCAGCCTCAGGTCCTTCAACTGGATCGTCACCCTCTTGCAGTGGATAGCAATGATGTTTGTTCTCTCGGAATGGTTGATTAGATATGCTTCGGCCGCTTCCAGCAACGCACGTATGGCGTTCATTTGAAACCTTATAGATTGCCCTGGTGCGATTTCTTTCTCGACGATCTCGCGCACGACCTGCATGAACGGCCTCAAAGCGATGCACAAGTGAGTAGATCGTTGGAGTTGCCGAATTTCTGCCAATGCTGTCATCCCTGCGCGGCGCCTGCGCTTTGGAACTGGGCCAGCGGCTGCTTTGGAAGTCTGCCCTCGATCTAGGACATGTTTATCTTTGCCTTTTGCTTTTGTGGAACTCCCGAGTCCACGAGGCAGCCTATATGTGCACTGCTTCTTCTTCTTCTCTGCCCTCCCTGTCACGTGCTCCGCAGGGGTGTCACCTTCGTCGGGTTTTGCATTAGAACATCCCCCATCATTTGCTGTTTCTGGGCCATCGACCTTAGTTGGCAAATTTGAAATTTTATGCTGCTGCTGTGTTGTTGGTTGTGCATTCGATGCAGCATGAGCGTCGTCATCACCCATGTATTGAATGTGTCGCAGCAGTCCATCTATGTACGTGAGCTGGAAAGGGACACTCAGAGGGTCTCTGAATCTCATGCACATCTGTTCACCATGGTCATATGTCATGGGACAGACGACAGGGACCCACCCAAGAAGTGATGTGCACCCGTGTCTGCATCGAATGCCCTCCAGAAACATTTCATCCGTCGAGGGTCGTGCTTGCTCGGTGCACGAGTCTTCCACGATCGACCACATCGCCTGGTCACTATGGGAGTCATATCCCATGCACACCATTTGTCGTTTTTCCTCCATTATCTTCTCCCAACAACGCTACGCGTGTTCCTCCAGCAATTCCCGGTTCTTCACATGAGGATTGCAAACGGAGACACGTGTCACCACCACCAAGAATTGTCAATGCTCCACAACGCCAGCATGCATCCAACCCAAAGGCAGCCACTCACCAGATTGCATTCTTGCTGCCACTGTCACTTTGCCATCAACAACTGCTGGATGCAAAGAACCAGGTACCCAATTGACATGGTATCCGTACATGTCACGGGCCACATGATGGTACAACTGCCCTTCTTGAATCACATGGGCCGCAATGTTACTGGCTGCAACCACATCCTTCCGCATTGCCACATGGTCTCGTACGTCCATACAGATGCCATCAAATGTGGTTTTTTTCCCCCTTACGTGGACGTATGTAATGCATTTCTCACCACTAAACACCGTCCCTTCAGCGAGGGCCAACTCGACAGGATTGCCAAGTGGCGGGTCGAAGATGCGTGCATCGCGTGGCTGGCATGTCACCGCCACCTTTTCGTTTGCAGTCGTTTCTCTGTCGAAATGACGGAAGGAAAACATGTCGTTCACGTAATGCGCGCTCCACATATTGCCCATGATATCACGCACTTGCATCTTAACACGGCCATATCCAAATGGGATTTCAGATGGCACCCAACCCCATCGAGGATCCCTTCTTGCATCATCCTGGCTGACTGGCGTCCCCCCCCTGCGTTGCTGGCCACCCAACACCCACAGCTGTCCGCAATCGAAGTTGTCATATAAGAAATCGTTGAGCAGCAACTCACCCTTTGCCTCTAGAACACGATACATCTCCAATGCGTAATGGCAAGCATCGTCGGTCGTTGCCCCATCATTCAACCTCAACACTCTGTCATAGATAAATGACAGACATACGTTATGCCATGTTCCTTTCTTTGGGGCAGGAACAGCAACCCACTGATCAGCAACCTTGAAAGCAAAGCAATGCACACCTCCAACGATACCTGGTTGAACACGACCTGGCACCCAATTCACATCGTACGGGTATGTATCTTCTGCCATTGTCTTTGTCACATTTGCATCTGTGACAATGCATCCACTGTGAGGACCCTCGCTGCCAACATCTTCCTCGTTTCTCTCTCCACCCACCTTCTCTATCTCAACACTGTTCCCTCGTGCGCCGCTATCATTGTCATCCACGTCAGCAAGCATCTGCTCATTTTCCATATGAATTGTTGCGAACACCTCTTCACATGCAACACTGGTTGTGCCCCCGCCGCTGGTCTGCTGATGAACTGTGGTTTCGTTGACCTCACTTGCAGGGGAAAGACCACCTAGAATGGCTTCTGTTTCCATGACGTTGGTATCTCCAGCATTGGCGGCTGTTGCAATTGCGGGTTCCATCTAAATATTTGCACAGCACATAAGGTCGTGAGTCGACATCGCTAACAAAATGGTTCCACAAGAGAGAGAGAGAGAGAGAGAGAGAGAGAGAGAGAGAGAGGTTGGCTACTGTGGGCCAGAACGACGTTATAGAGTAACGTTTAACCATATTATGGCACGCAGTAGTCAACCGACTCATTCATAGGTTGAGAGAGAGAGAGAGAGAGAGAGAGAGAGAGAGAGAGGGAGAGAGAGAGAGAGAGAGAGAGAGAGAGAGGGGGGGAGAGAGAGAGAGAGGTTGGCTACTGCGGGCCAGAACAACGTTATTGAGTAACGTTTAACCGTAATATGGCACGCAGTAGTCAACCGACTCATTCGTAGGCCAGAACATAATGACATT